CGCTTCCTCTCTCCCTCTCCCTCTCCCTCGGACACTCTTCCGCAGTCGCTGCCCCCTCACTCTTCACTCCACAAGCACAAGCAGAAGCAGAAGCAGTGCGCGGCGGGCGCATGAGTAATTGTAAAGTGAGCGCAGGTTTCTGTCTCTGTGTGCGTGTGTGTGTGTGTGAGTGTGTCTCTGCGAGCGCTTGCATGTGCATGTGTGTGTGTGCGTGTGCTTTTTTATTTTTGAGTGGGATTTTTTAGTCGCTGTGTGAGCGTCTGAGTGTGAGTGTGAGCCAAGTTTGCAGTCGCAGCAACAACAACAATAACAACAACAGCAACAACAAACAGCAACAAGAGAACTCGCAATGTGTAAAACAAAATGCGATGACTTTTGCTGCTTATGAGTGCCCACTATGCATGTATGTGTGTATGTGTGCACGTCTGCGTGTCAATACGGCTACATCTATCACACACACACACACACACACACACACACACACACACACACACACACACAAGCACTGTCATCGTTGCCAATTGTCGTATAAATAAATGAAAAAAAAAAAAAATTAAAATACAGCTTAACTAATTTGCGTACTTGGGGCAACAAAAAAGCAACAACAACAACAAAAGTAAAACACTGCAAAGCCCCTGAGGAAAGCGTATTTGACAACAACAACATTAACAACCCCTTTTGTTTAACGGTATACCCGGCCCATTTACAGCCAACAACAGGTCAATCCGCAAACGAATACGCCCAACATTTAACAGAAAAACAAATGCAATTGTTTGATTTCCACTCAACTTCGTTGGCATGGCAGAAACAAAACAACAACAAACAAGTAAGAAGACTCTAGTCGAGACTTCTCGACTAGGAGATACCCTGAACCCTCTAAGCTGATATTCTAACCACTCTGCTCTTCTTTTCGGCACACATACATACACACACACGTATTAGAATGCGCTTTGCTAACTGCGCAGTAAGCAGCGACTGCGCTTGGGCTGCGCTGTAGTGTGGGCAACATTATAAGAATTTATTTGTTGAATAATTTAATTTTTAGACGTACAATCTTAATGAAACTTTAAGAGCGTAATCATATGGTAAAAATGTATGTACATTCCAAAGCACACGTCTCTAGTACTTGAAATACGCCTTTTACAAAGGTGAAGGTAAGGGGGTGGATATAGGGGTGGGGGATAAATTTTGATAAATAAATTTAAACATTTATTTAACATACATTTAAAATTTGGAAGCTCTAGCTCTAAAGGTGTAGGAGATATAATTAAATAACTAGCTTTCGATAAGGTTTTTAATCGATAATAAAATATCGGGAGTAGTTATCGATATATAAAGAAAAACTTGATATGCGCGTGATATACACGGACCTAGGAAAAAAAATTTCTCTAGCTCTTATATCTTCTGAAATCGACGCGTTCATACATACGGACGGACGGACGGACGGACGGACGGACGGACGGACGGACGGACGGACGGACAGACAGACGGACAGGGCCAAATCGACTTAGCTCGCCGCCCTGATCAAGAATATATATACTTTGTGGGGTCTGCCACGCCTCCTTCTGCCTGTTACATACTTTTAACAAAACCATTATACCCTGATTTCCCATTTTCAATGGGTTCAGGGTATAAAAATAGGATAAAGGCAATAAAAAACTAAAAATGCAGTTGCATCTCCTCAGAATATGACGACAGAGTGCGAGATATAGTCACAGTGAGAGTGAGAGAGAGAGAGACTAGTCAAGTGCTTATGTCGTATGCTTAAACAGCTGAGCTCAACAGGGTATATCGATTTTCATGTGAATTGGGTATGGGATATAGAATGCTATGCAATTTAATTTTAATAATGATCGATATATAAAATAAATACAAATCTCGCATCGATAATATTGTATGACGTGAGAGTGCGAGAGAGACAAAGATAGCTGTTGTTGAGGCAGGTAGAGTTCGGGATTTAGGTCATTCGAACGGGATTATTGAACACAGTTGTAAAACTATAATATTTGCATTAACTGTAAGATTACCACAAACCTAAACTATATACATATATGATTCGTTTGGCTGTCATGTCTTCATGTCTATTTCAAGAAGCATTTACATACATTCCAAATCGAGTAGTTCATATATACATATATATATATATATATGTAGTATATTAAATATATTTAACTTTTACATTAGTTTCAACAGGGTCGACAGGGTAAACTCGTATTACAATTTGCAATTTATGAAATATATTTAAGTTCTCTTGAAGGTTTTTAAACTTTGCTTATATTATTCACTATATGATGAGGGGCAATTTAATAGATGACTTGGCTATGAAACATATTGACAAGTAATATTCTCTCCTAGTTTATTCCAAAATACTTAAGAATATGTGAGAGTCGATAGTTCAGATCATCTGGTGACCTATCGTAGACATTGATGCTTTCACTAATTTCTGAATGAACTTGCTTCGAACTCGTAAAGATGATCTGCTAAACTGTGGTCTTACGGGGGATACATAGACAGGCAAATGTTCCCAGATACCGCCAGTTCAATAAACCGTTTTCCCTAGGAGTTTTCTACAAGTTTTCACTCAAAAGCTCAGAGGCAATGAGTTAGTTGCCGTTAGCCCCATTGCAGTTGTGATTAAGCCAAGTTCCAGCTCTAGGGTAATACCAAGTCAGCAAAATTCGAGAAGACTTCATGCATCGTAAATAATAATTCATATATGGGTCAGCCATATATGTATATACAATATATATGTATATATAGCTTAGAAATCCAAATCTCTCCCTCTTTCTCTCTCTCTCTCTCTATCTGTCTCTTTCTGTCTGTGTTAGCCCATTAATAGTACAGTTTGAGCTGCTCGCTGCGCTTCAGTGGCTCTTTAGCTATTTGCCTATTTCGTTTTTGCTTTTAATTAATTATACATTTGGCTTTACCTTTCCGACTTGCTGTTGTTTAACAAGTCAACTGTGGTGCTCTTCTCTCTCTCTCTCTCTCTCTGGCCCACCTGCGCCAACAGCTGCCTCCTCCCACAGTCCACACACATCGATTAAAACTTTGCATAATTAATTACTGCAAATTTCCTCCGTTCAGCGGCCTTTTGAGTAATGTCTTACCTGTCTCAGCCCCTGCCTCTGACCCAGCCAAGCCCCCGCCCCCAGCCTCCACCCTCCCACACACACACACACACACACACACTCACTCCATATTGAAGCCGAAATACCGCCCACGCATTTAACTACTTGTTATTGTTTGACGCTGTCTCTACAGACCTCCTCTCTTACCCCCGACCGGCCCCATCCCTCGCCCCCTCTCCCCACTACTCACTCTGCTATCCCTTTTCGCATTTAGTTAAAAGTGCGGCGCACAGAAAAAGTTGTTCAGCAACTTTTATTCACGCTTCTCCCCGTTACCCGTTACCCATTATCCAAACCTTCCTCCCTTCCCATTGGGCCACCCCCGCTCTCCAGTGACCAGGCGCGCGCTGCCTCGTTTGCATTGTCTTTGTGCGGTAAACTTTGTAATTGTTTTACTGGCTAAGAGCAGCGGCAGTTCCTGCTACGCAGATGGTTGAGTTTTGGTGCGCAACAGTTTGAGGGCAACGGCTGCATTGGTTTGCCATGCACTGGGCGCCGATTGGTCAATGGCCAGTGGCACAAGAACAGCAATTCAAATCACCAACAACACCAACAACCGAAGCAGAAGCAGAAGCAGAAGCCGAATGTCGAACCGGAAGCGTTGCCATAGCCGCCGTCAACAGCGTCGTCCATTGTCGCCGCGGCAAACAAAGCTGCTGCCGCAGTGGGCGGGGCAGGGTTAACATTCAAAGGTGAGCGTGCGGCATGCGGCATGCGGAACTGTTGCCACTTGCTGTGCATGTTAAATGACGCTCTGCACTCGACTGTGACGACGCGTCGCCTCGTTCAATGTTTCCCAATTGCCGTTGCTTTTGCGCACAGTTTGACAGCCATTGGGCGTGTGCGTTCTCAGTGGAAAACTTTGACCATTTTCGATCGCTTCAATGGAAGTGCGATAGTTAAACGGCAAAGTGGAAAAACTTTGAATGCACATTGAGAGAGAGAGAGAGAGAGAGAGAGAGAGAGCTGCGAGTGTTTGTTAGGGTATATCAGTTCGTATATGGAATACACATTCATTTGCATACATACATACATATGCATATTGTAAGTACCACATTATAATACAATGTAATACGTGTATATAGTCACATACACCCCATTACATTTATTCTCGATGATATTGATTTGCTCAACTTAAGCTATTTAGTGTAGTATAGCTCTACAATTTCCCTGAGCAGAACTATACATCAGTTACTTAATAGTCTTTGAAAGAATTCTTACATGGAATATTCGATTCCATATTAGTATTCACATTCTTTCATAATCGATATTTATCAATCTATATAATTTACAGACTTGATGAACACATGTTTAACTTTGTCTTGTGTATAAACTATATGTTCTACAAAACGAGTATACCCTGTAGCAGTGCATATGGGGGTAATAAATAATATAAACGTCAATCTATAGAATCAACAATTCAGATTCATCGGATTGGATTAAGACTCTGTGATATAAAATTGTAAATACACTGCAAATAATGGAAATTATTTTATAGATTATTTTAGTTCACCCCTTTAAAAATTCTAAGATTGATTGATTCATAAACCAATATGGAGTTCATTTCAGATCGTAATTATGAAAAGAAAAATGACTGGTTGCCTTTCCTATATTGTTTAGATACACAGAGACGTTCCGCTACAATCAAAAGAACATGCCTACAGTTTGGCAGTCACTGAACGAGGCTGGGCAGTCTTGCATGGCTGATTTGCATAGCCTAACAGCAGGCGCCAAACGAAAATCAAATTCGAAATTTCATGCTGCATACACAGAATGAATGTATGTGTATACACATACATACATACAGCACTATACATATACATATATATAATCATTTACATATATGCATATTTATTTTATTTTGCTCACCTGATATTTTCTAATGCTGTCCAATTGCTCGAGCGTTGGCGCCACAACTTGCGCTATTTGCTGTGGCTGTGGCTGTTGTTGTTGTTGTTGTTGTTGCTGGTGCTGGTGCTGATGCTGAATGGCGCTGCCATTGCCGGGTATTCGCCGGTCTGGCAGCTGTGGTGCTGGGGCGCAGTTAATGAGACGTCCATCCTTCTCGATGCGCAGATGATCACGAGGCGGTGGCAAAGGCTTTGAGTTGCCATTGAGCTGCACATAGAGAGAGAGAGAGAGAGAGAGAGAGAGAGAGAGAGAGAGAGAAGAGTTGGGGAAAGAGCAAAATGAAACAAAATGCATTAGTTTGGAATTATAAATTGTTTTTTTGTTGTCTTTGTGGCTATGTGAATGCATGCATGTATTGATGTCTGTGTGGCTCTGTGTCTGTATCTCTGTGTGTGTGTGTGTATGTGTGTGTGACAGAGAGAGCGAGATAGATAGCGAGAGTAATGCACTTGTATGGATGTTGTTGATATTGTTGTTGCTGTTGCTGCTGCTGTTGCTGGTAAATGTTGCTGGGTCGCATTCCATTTAATTAGAATTTGCAGCAAGGCATCGTCAGTTGCAGCCTTTAACGCCCCCAACTGCACGCATTTCTTGTCTTCTTCTTCTTATTATTATTATTATTATTATTATTACTTTTTTTACATAAATATCACTAAATGCCGAGTTTCGTTTCACTTGATTTTACCTTTGTCCACTTCAGCAATGCAATTTATCAACTTCCCTGTTCTATTACCAATAAATTGTGTTTAAATTATATAGATACACACGCACACACACACATACATATATGTATATATATATACAGATGAACAAATATATACATGGACACAGCTGCAGTACTACTCAGTTGGCAGGGCGTGGCATTGGCAGAGCTTAGGATTATGTTACTAACGAGAGTCGAGCTCCAGCGGCTGACAACCAAGGAAATTAGGCCAGACGCAGAGACGTTGCCAACGAATGCCAAAGGGCGTAAGCGGAGCCTCAGTCAGGAAGGAATTAAATTAAAAAGCCATAAAAGGAGCAACACAGAGAAATACAGCGAAAGAGAGAGAGAGAGAGAGAGAGAAAAGGAGAGGCAGAGCGAGGCAGAGGAGGGTAGAGGGGGACACGTAGAGTTAGGTGAATGACTTGGATACCGCACTAGATGATGGGCCATAATAAGCTGGAGCTCATAATTAGTAATAGTAAGAGAGAGAGAGAGAGAGAGAGAGAGAGAGAGAGAGAGAGAGAGGGGGAAGAGAAAGAAACGAAAAGAAAAGAAAAGAACAACAAATTTTGCTGGAAATAGCAAAGATGCAAACCTATAGAGCGCTCTACAAATAGAGCTTATTAGCTATGGGCATAGGCAAAAATGCGTATATATATACATACATATACATATGTATATTCAGCCAACTACTAAATCATTAAATGGAATACCAATACGTATAACGGCAAAAGAACCAGATGAATCGCCTTGCGACAATTAACACTAATTGAGGCAATTGCATTGAAACGAGTTAACTTTGTGTATATATGTACATATACACATATGTACATACGCATACATACATACATATACACGAATACGGTATTGCATTTAATTATTAAATAGTTCGCAAAATCTATTAATTGACTTACGGCTTACGCAGTTGGATTACTTTACACTCTAATTGCGCAATGAAAAAAGTTTGCAAATTATATTATATTATATTGCAATTTATATTATATATCAAATATATATGCATATTATGAATCGACTTTTTTAGGAAAGGCTCTATGTTTTGAATGCTCTGGAATGGCCTATGGGTTATATTTAATATGCATGTATATTTGATAGGAAATTCTGTTACAGTTTTACAGCCACTGCAGCATCAACTCCACTAATTGGCTAGCCGAGTAACGCGCAGTCAGCTCAAAGTCAAGCGAAGCTCCTTCTGCTGAATGACTTCACGAATCAGAAGGCGAAACTTTTATAATCAGTCAATAAATTGATCGATATTTGAGATGAACGAAAAGCAAAGGCGAAATTGTTCAAGCTACACAGAACAAATTATGAACAGAGATTAACGACTCTGGCAAGGGCTGGCAGAAGAAAGCAAAAGAGAGCAGCTTGCGGAAATTGCAGCGGTAAGCGTGGCAAGTTGTCGCCGAGCAACAGTTGCTGCTGTAGCTAGAGCAACTGTTGCTGCGACATGTGTGAGAAGCGACGGGGCGCAGTTGCAATGCAGCGGAAATGCTGATGAAATGCAAATTGCTGCTGATTTATGTCATAAAATGGCAGCGAATGACGCGCGAAAGCCAACTGATGTGACACAGAGAGACATAGATAGAGAGAGAGAGAGAGAGGGAGGGGGGAGAGAGAGAGAGAGGCAGATAGTGAAAAGGAAAAAGAAAACTATGCTGCTTTAAAGGGGGCTAATCGAGTGCTTTGTAAGGAATGTCGGTCATGTTGCTGCTGTGCAAGGCAATTGCTGCTGCCAGCCAACTGGGCAAATTACGTGTGGTCAAACTTAAACTAGGACAGAGATAGACATACTAAAAGACAGAGAGAGAGAGAGAGAGATAGAGAGAGAGCAGGCGAAGTGCGACGTGGAAATTGAATAGGTTACTAAATTGGAAATACTATTGTGGTTGTTGATATACCTCATCAGCAATACGCTTGCCATCGCCAGCAATGGCGGCAAGGGCACCACCAGCAGCAGCAGGAGCAGCAGCAGGAGCAGCAGCAGCAGCAATGGCAGCTGGCGCAGCAACAACCACGCCCAGCGATGAGAGCGTCGTCTGTGCCGTGGATGCGTTCGAGGAGCTGGCAGTCGAGAGCAGCGAGCCGCGCGACGATAGATGCGCCGGCGGCGGGTAGCGCGGCGGCGCCTTGACCATCTCAATGAAACTATCGGGCACGTCGACGGGCAGTTCGCGATGCTTGGCCTGCGGCAAGAGCAGCTGATTGCCGGCTGGCTCATAGCCAGGTGGCGCCATGCTCAGATCATCCGGCATCGTTGAGCTGCTCGCTGTGGATGCTGCAGCGCTGTTGATGTTGCTGTTGTGGCTGTTGCTGTTGCTGCTGTGACTGTTGCTGCTGTTGTGCATGGAGCTGTTGCTGCTGCTTCGTGTGCTGTTCAAGGAGTTGCTGTTGCTATTGGGCGTCACGGTGGCGCTGTTGCTGTTGTTATTGGTGTTGCTGTTGCTGTTGCTGTTGCTCGTCGTCAGTTGCTGCTGCTGCTGCAGGTGACGATAGGCAATGGTCTCAAAGGTTTCCAGCGTCTGTTTGCTCAGCATATCATCGAAGCTGTTCGACGATGGCGAGCTGTCGCCCTTGCAGTAGATCTCATCCACCACGCACAGCAGCTCGACGGCAACATTGTTGTTGCTGTGGCTGTTGCTGTGGCTGTTGCTGTGGCTGTTGCTGTTGCTGTGGCTGTTGCTGCTGTCTAATGCGGCTGGCTTCTTGTAGCTAGGCATTTGCTGTTGCGCTGTTTGGGCGCCTGTTGTTGCTGCTGATGTTGCTGCTGCCAGTTGCTGTTGTTGTTGTTGCTGTTCCGTTTGCAGATCGTTTTCATAGTTTTCGATTTGTTCCAATTTCGTTTGTTGTTTTTGATTGTATAAATTTTGTGTGGCCACATCGAGTGCAATTGTTGTTGTTGTAGTTGTAGTTGTTGTTGTTTTTGATGAGTGTTGTTGTTGTTGATGATGATGTTGTAGTAGTAGTTGTTGTTGTTGTTGTTGTTCATGTTGATGTGAAGAATGATATGCAACAATTAACAATTTGTTAGCATGATCATTTTTAGTTTTAGTTGTGTTCTGGGTGGTGTTGTTGGTGGTATGGTTGGTGTTGGTGGTACTGGTGGTGGTGGCGATGATGCTGGTGATTGTTGTGTGGTTGGTGTTGTGTTTCTGTGTGGTGGATGATGCGTGGTGCAGGTGGTACATGTGAGCAATGCAATGTGAAATGAAATGAGAGGTTGTGTGATTGTGTGCTTCAGTGGTTCAGTGGCTCAGTGGCTCAGTGGTTGAGTGGTTGAGTGAGCTAGGCGCATGCATTTTGGGTGTGCTACGTGTTTATTGTGGTTGTTGCTGTTGTTAGTGACTACTGTTAGTTGCTGTTAGCGACTGTTGCTGGTGCAGGGCAATGTCTATTGTTTTCTTCTTTTATTTCTAGTGGCTGTTAGATCGGGTGGGGCGGTGGACGGTGGGCGGTTCGCTCTGCTTACCTGTGGCGGACGGGGCGGCGGATACCTGGGTGGCGTCTTGTTGCGCGCTATAAACGTGTCGGGGCAGTCGACGGCCATCTCGCGATGTGGACCTGCGGGCGGATAAATCCATTTATTATAATGTGGCATGAGGCATGTGGCATGTAGCATGTGGAATGTAGCATGTGGCAAGTGGTAACTGAGATAACAGCTAACAGCTATTAGGTGGCTTGGCTTACCGTTATCTTGATTGACCGACAACATGGTCAGCATTTCCTGATCAATCTCCCTAATATCACTTGAGTGCGAGCGGTAATGCTGTTGCTGCTGGTGCTGCTGTTGCTGCTGCTGCTGGTGGTGCAAATGGTGGTGCTGACCGCTAATGTAATCATCCGGCAGACATGGCTTCAGATCATCGCCATCAATGACCACGATGCTGGAGCCGGAACGTCGACGTGGCCTGCAATGACAGCAAATGAGCCGAGTTAACAAAGCTCGCCTCAGCAAATGCCTACGAATAGCATATCTCAAATATCTTTATCTTTTATATATTAGCTATTCTTATTCATATATTCTCTGTACATTATATAGCTCAAGTCACACCTCTGGGCAAACAAATTTTGCAATTTTGTCTGTGTGTCCCATAGTGTGTCCCACAGTGAGTCATCGAATTTAGCAGGTAAACGCCTGAAGACCTTCTGAGTCACCTCGCCTTAACAATAATCAATTGAAATCAGTACATCGAGTTCAACAGTTCGAGTTCAATACGAACTCCGTTGAACTGCACAAAGCTCTAATTACTTAGTGAGAAGTGGAATGCTATTAAAATTATCGCCACTTGACTACCTAAGTGATTATAAATAAACTATCTTTATTATTATTATTGTTATTATTATTATCGTTATAAGCTTACGCAATCAAGCTGAGCTTGATATAAGAAAAGAGATGCAGACACATCTTAAGGACTGATGAGGACCGTAAACTTTCTAAGCGTTCGGCAACTGCTTTAACATGCAAGGCGAAAAGGTCTATATGTAACCCGGGTACAACATAGAATCCGATTCTAACTCCGCTTAGAGCGTTTCTACGGTTATTGCGACGAAAAGTCGGGTGCTTAGACAAAGTTATATGAGTAAACTTATATGGCATCTTCAGGATATAAGAATGGTTCCTTGAGCGTTGCTATAACCGGAGGTCACAGCTACCGATGAGAAAAACAGTAGCCATAAGGGAGTCTTTGAAGGAACGCAGATTATCTGGAGCATCAGTGTCCATAGGCTATGTGCAATGATAACATTCAACTTAATAATGCTAGAGCGCAACTAGATATTATATATCGGGCGAAACGGAGGTATGTCCAGTGCAGTCGATGCGAAGCTGCCTACTGAAGATGATTCCTTTATCTATCGGTGTGATACAAATGCTTTCGAAATAACCCACGTAAGATTGGGAAATCTGCCGAATCCAGTTGGGAAAACTACTGGGAATAATTGCGAAAGTAGGTCAAGAGAAAGGACCCACCTGACAGAAACTGTCGGAAAAACTAAAGAAGAGACTACAATGGAGGAAAGACGAATCCGACATGGATAGGAGAAGGGTTCCATTTTGAAGCTTGACTCTCAATCAAGAAACCAAAGATCAGTGTCATTATAAACATTTGTATTATCCTCATTATTGTTCATAATATTATATGATGGCTATCATTATTAATACTGTTTGCTTGTATTTATTATTATTATTATTGTCATAATATTTTTGATGAGCCTATATATATATATATATATATATATATATATATATATATATATATATATATATAATGCAAATTATTACGTTTCATATGTTATCATCAACCGAACACCTGAAATCATATTAGTGTTACTCCGTTGTGCACTGTATTCAGTCGCTCTGCAACTGTCAGTTAATAAGCTAATGAATCTGATTGAAGCATGTCTGAGGCAACAACTAGGCGGGGATCCATATTTAATAAGGCCTGCGGCTGCCAAGCGGGCCCAAGAGGGACTTCATTTCAATTAGTGGGAAATCTTCAAGCGCCGAGCAGAGGCCAATTCCAGCTGCTAATGGGGGAAATTAAAGTGTGTGTCATACGTATGAGCCAGGCTGAATAATTAATGCAAATTAGCATAAAACTAAAACATTCCAGATAAAGGCGCTTAACAGGCTGAAGCCGGGCCAAAACTTGGCTCATTGAGGGAGACAGAGATTTGCTGGCACAGTTGACGGGGCTGGCGAATATTTATCCTTTTATTTAGCGATGAATCTCTGCCATTCAAATATGGTAGCTTGGCAGCACAGTGGATGGGGGATAATAGCCGAAACGACGTAGGATATTTGTGACTCCTTGAGTGAGCGTTAGGCAGTGCGGGGTCAAGCCGAGCGAGGAGAAATCAAAGTCAATTTTGATTTGGCCTGCTGGCAACAATCTGAAAAACATTGTCAGCTGGTGAAGTGTCAATTTCCTGATTGCGGTTCGTCGTCCAGCTCGACTTCTATCTCACAAGCTGCATTCGCTGGAATCGACAGCATCCCCAATGGCAAATCAATCAGCCAAGCGTCTCCAGAGGCACGAATCGCAAACCATGCAACACGTCGATGGCCGATGTTGTGGTCAGGTTTCGGTTTTGGTTTCGGTTTCGGTTTGGGTTTGGCTTTGGGTTTCGGCTTATAGCTCGGCTTTTTCATGCGATGTGGCAGGTAGAGCCTGAGCCTGAGCCTGAGGCTGATGCTGAAGCTGAGGCACTGTGGCAACAACTGACATGGCAGCTATGCCACCTTGCCACGTCTTCAATTTGTCGGCCAAAAATTGGCTAAATATTTGAAATGCAATTGTTGATGGCTGCGCAAATTCCTTGCCACATGCACAGTGGAATATGCATCAGCGGATCGCATTTCCCCAGTTAGTTCCTCTTCCCAATGTCAAGAATGTTTTTGTTTTTCTCACTTCGTGCTGCGTATTTCGTTTGGTTTATGTAATGCATGCTGACATTTGTATGGGCGAGCGCACTTCAGGCCACGAAATACACACACACATACATATGGATATGCATATGCATATACATATATGTACATATATGTATGTATATCTTTATGTACGTAATGGCAGCGTGTTTTGCATGCGAAATGCGAATGTCTATCTAACAGATATATGATATGCATAATATATAGACATGTGCACAACAATAGTCGCCGGCAGAAGATGTTTCGATTACACTGTCCGACACAATTAGGCGAGCAACAAGGGGCACCTCTGCTCAAGGCTGATTTGCATTTGGAATTGATGTTTAGCAAGAGTTTTTGTAGATGTTTCAATTTAATCTTATCTCTAATCTCCTCCATTATAAATGACGGAATTTTCTCCTTTACATGCTGGAATATTTGATTAGGGAGTTTGAAGGGAAGGTGCTAATAAATATAAAAATGCGATAATTGATAAATATCGAATCAGTTCCATTGACTATCGACTGATAGATACCTGTGCCGGCCTAGAAAACTCCTAGCTAGAAATTAAATAAAATTCTTAACACGTATTTAGTGGGCCTGTTTAACTAATAACATGTATGTATATAATATATATAGTACAAAAAGTATCTACAAATTATTCCCACATGTTTATATACTGCATATAATATTTAATTTAGCTTTAAATGTACAATCGCATTCAATTGCTGGTGCACAGTGTAAAAAGAATGAGACGACTCAGTAAACACCTATGCATAGATTCGATTGTACATAGCGATACATATGCATGCACGTGATAGATACAAATGTATCTTTTGCTTGAAATGCAGCAGTTGAATATTTAGATTCAAGCCGGAAATATTTGTTGGATTGAAAAAGTTCATGAAATCAAATCGAGTCGAGTCTCCTCTGTCTCTGTCTCTGTCTCCCAATACACCCAATACACCTCCACTCACCATTGCTTCAGGATGCGCATTTTGCTGTTTGTTCTTTGTTTTGTTTATGTCGTTGTTGTTGCTTGATGTTTGTGCGTTCGCTATGCTTGTCCTTCTCCTGGACCGTGGCACATTGCATTTATTTCAAGCGCTGTTCAAACAACGAGGCGCACACATAGCAAAAAAATAAGAGTAAAATAAAAAAACGTTAAAAAAAAAAAAAAAAAATGTTGCTGCGCATGCGCGCAATACGAAACGGGCAACAGGAAAAAAATCAACAGCAACAGAAAATATAATATATGTATATATATCGCAGACCAAAGGCAATTGCATTGCGATTATTGCTGTTGTTGCTTTTGTTGTTTATTGACCAAGGTATAAATTACGACAACAAAAAAAAAAAAAAAAAAAAAAAAAAAAAAAAACTTTAAAAAGTTGTTTGACCAATTTCTCAGCACTTTCGAAAGAAATTTTCGCTGTTGTCGTCGCTCGTTGCTTTTACGGCTGCTGCAGTAGCCATTGACGTTGCATGTTGACACACACACACACACACACACGCGTGCACGCTACAGACATACGCACACACTCACATACAGACGGACGCACACACATTCACACACACACGCATAGCGCATAGTTTTTGCCACCGTTTTTTTGTTTCACTTGTTCAAACATTTCAATTTTTCAAACAGCAACAACAACAAAAGCTTGAAGGCATTCAGTGATCTGGCAACGCTGTTATGTGTAGCACTACAGTGCAACTAAAGCAATTGCAAGGTGCACAAAAACGAGAGTAAGAAGAAGAGGTAGAAGAGGAAGAAGTGGCAGAAGAGGTAGAAGAGTAACAAGGCAAGCTGAGCAAAGTAGACAAACAGATTTTTGTAGCAAACTTTGTTTGACTTGTTCTATTGAGATAATTTGTTGTTGTTGCTTGTTGTTAGTTGCTTTTAATTACAATTTAATGAGCTCGAAGGAGCCCACGAGCACACACACACACACATGGCCAATGCTTGTCAATTAACGGTGAACCGCCAAAGAAAACAACGAATCATTGTTGTTAAAGATTTATCGTGATTTGTTTCAGGATGTTTTATTTTTGTTTTTTTATTGTTTGCCGGTCAACAGTTGGATTTGTATTAATATTATTGTTGCTGTTGTTGTTGTTGTTGCCCGTTGTTTTTAAAGCGCGACGCGTCCACGTAACGTTTACCTCTCTCTGCGAACAAAGTCAGCCATAGACTGAAAAACTAAAACAGCGACTGCGACTGCGACTGCGGCTGCGACTGCGAACTGCGAACTGAGCTGACTGAGCAACGAAACGCTGGCTCAAGCGCAAGCAATCGAGAGAGCGAGCGACGCCAGAGAACACAGAGCAGAGAGCAGAGAGCAGAAAGCAGAGAGCGAAGAGCGGCCAAGCATGGTGTACCTGTCGGCAGCGCAACGCAGCGCAGCGCAAGTGCAGCACACTCAAAACGGGATTGTTTTGCTTTTTAGTTTTCTGTATTAAAGGATATGTGCACACACACAGACGAAGGGAGAGAGAGAG